ACGCAAATCCTGCTCTGAAACATTCCCTGGACACATGTAATAGGACCCATTATCACCACACCAGAAATAAATATCTCTTTGATGTCCCCCAGAGTCAAACATAATCTGTGTAAACACTCTATGTAAATAAACGGACCCAGTCTATGGAACTCACTCCCTAATGAATTGAAAAGCTGTCCAACTTTTGCGTCATTCAAAAACAACACTAAAAAGTACCTAATCTCATCTGCATAGTTTTTTTTACCTTGTTGCTTTAAAATTGCACTGTATCTATTGCTACCCAATCTCCCTATCTTTATGTACCCAATCCAAATATCTTTACCATTGTGATCATTGTTGTCTTCTTATACGTGCTATCAATCTGCTGTACGGTGTCTGTTAATCTTGTTTAAATTATCAATCACGTTGTCAATGTATTCAACCAGAGCTTTAATAAACAAATGTGCTTTAATATACTTACTATTCTCTCTCATCTCATTTTTTTTTCTTGCAATGTATGTTATCATTTTATTAATTCTGCTAGAATTTACCTACTTAAAATTATCTGTTAGATTAAGGACCTGCCCGAAACGCTGCGCGTACTAGTGGCTTTACAAGATTGCAAATACTATGCTATGTATTCTCTCTAACCCAATGTACCTTCTTGTATATAAATAAATAAATAAATAAATAAATAAATAAATGTACATTGACTTGCATTCACTATGTAGTTATACATTTTTCAAGAATTTAAAATGGGTTATGAAAATACACACATTGGTACATTATTGCAAAGGCACTATACTATATATATATATATATATATATATATATATATATATATATATATATATATATATATATATATATATATATATATATATATATATATATATATATATAATTGTTGCAAGTCGAGCAACAAATATTTTACATTGAACAACAAATGAGATTGGAAAAGCAGTATTGCCACCTCTGCTATACAGAAAAAAATAGACCCCAAACACACCCTGTGGGTAGTAATGGACCCCCATACTGACACTGTGAGGGGTAGTGGACCCCATAATAACACTATGGGCGGTAGTGGACACTATACAAACACTATGGGCGGTATTTGACTTCATAGCGACCCTGTGGGCGGTAGTGGACCCCCTGCCGACCCTGTGGGCGGCAGTGGACCCCCTACCGACCCTGTGGGCGGTAGTGGACGCCCTACCGACCCTGTGGGCGGTAGTGAACCCCCATACCAACCCTGTGGGCGGCAGTGGACTCCATAGCGACCCTGTGGGTGGCAGTGGACCCCATACCGACCCTGTGGGCGGTAGTGAACTCCATACCGACCCTGTGGGCGGCAGTTGACCCCCTACCAACTCTATGGGCGGTAGTGGACCCTTTACCGACCATGTGGGCGGCAGTGGACCCTATATACTAATCCTGTGGGCGATACTGGACCCTATACCCATCCTGTGGGCGGCAATGGACGCCATACAAATCCAGTGGGTGTTATTGGACCCCATACTTATTCTGTGGGTGGTTGGAGCCCCATACTCATCCTGTGGGTGATAGTGGACGCCATACTCATCCTGTGGGTGGTATTGGACCCATACCCATCTTGTGGGTGGAAGTGATCCCCATACCCATCCTGTGAGTGGATGTGACCCCCCCATACCCATCCTGCGAGTGTTATTGGACCCCTTACCCACCTAATAGGTTGTAGTGGACCCTATACCCATCCTATAGTTGGTATAGGATAAATAACAGTCTTATACAGTCTCCGTGGTGTAGTGGTAAGACACTGGCCTGGCGTTCCGCGAGCGCTATGTCATGGGTTCGTATCCTGGCCGGGGAGGATTTACTGGACGCAATTCCTTAACTTTAGCCTTTGTTTAACGCAACAGTAAAAAAAATGTGTACTTGGATGAAAAAACGATTCTTCACGGAGGGGATCGTATTCCAGGGATCTGCCCGAAACGCTACGCGTACTAGTGGCTGTACAAGAATGTAACAACTCTTGAATATATCTTAAAAAAAAAAAAAAAGTATAGTAGACACCATACCATCCTGTTTGAAGTAGTTTACCCCATAAACATTCCAGCATAACATCGTTTTCTGTTAGCGTTCCTACAAAACATTCTTTAAAGATTTTTAAAGCACAAACTATGGTATATAATATTGATTGGTGAAGCACTGTTATTCTATGTAATTATTTATAGTGCTTATTATAATTTACTAAGAACAACTAATATTTCTCAAAACAAAACTACGAGCCTTAAATAGGATGTAGCTGATCTGTAATATTTTAAGAGCATGGACAATAGTAGGTAAATTTCACAACCCGTGTCGGACCTGAAAACTACAATTTTCATTATAATTGAACCAATCACGACTATTTTGCTATCTACGTTGATGGATGGGTACTTGGGTACTGTGAGAGGTAAATTGGTACGTGAGGAAGAGTTTGGGCCTTGGGAAAAAAAAGGTAACTGAGAATATATCACATATGTACTAAATCACATTCAACATATTGACTATAAGCATTAAGTCACATAGTATATGTATTACTAATGAAGCTTGGGTACTTGTTCATTAGTAGACAAGTAACATTAAATGTAGCCTAATTTAAGGTGGCTAATTTATACTCTACCTCACTTGAGGTTAAATGCACCTACCTAACAACAAGTAGCTAGATATTTCGTGTACTGTCTGAACTTCACCATTAGTTCTCGTCCGGTTAGCTCTTCTATATCACCATCAGAGATAATGGGGATCATACAGCAATACACAAAATAGACACACAAATAATGGGTACAAGAGAAATATTATGGAGACACTCCAATCAGAGTTATCTCAAAATTTAATCCCACCCGGTATAGGGTCAGCACAAATAGTATAATACATACACTACTGACTAGCTTAAGTCTAGTCGTGATAATTCCTAACTAAGAACTATAAATTTATTTAGTCTGGGCTTGTACCAGATTCAGCACAATCTCAGCCTAAATTCTACCTAATAAGAATGGTAAAGATTATTGTGGTGCAGTAAGGTAAATATAATTGTGCTGTATTTTTGTTTTTTTTGTTTTTATAAGGGTGCACTTGCACACACAAGTGAAAACATATAAAGGTTATGAGCTAGCTGATGCTCCAGGTGACCTAAAGATTCTTACTTCAGTATGAAGTGTAGGCCTAAGTCATGTGGGTAATTGACTGTGTCCCACTAAGGCTACCTTATACATGAAGTAAAAGTAGCAATGTGTTGGTGTGACTTAGACTAACTGATGTGTTACACTGCTGGCTGACACAATTAATCAAATGGTTAGTCTTGTTTACATCACACAAGGATTAGTTATTAATAACTAGTATTTATAATTATAATTTATGTTTATCCGGTTCGAAGGACCATAATGTGGGACATTTGGGGCTTGACTCGATTTATTTAAAACTTAATATAATGAAAATCAATTACGAAGGATCACCCGCTTTTAAAGTAAAGAGGGAAACTAAGGAAATATGATCATTAGAAAATTCCTAGATGAACCAGTAACTATGGATAAAATACTAGAGAATATGATCACTTATATAATTAATGGGCTGTATAATTAACTGAATCAAAGCCTCAAACACCTACATTGGGGGGTTATTACTGGAACTCAATACGTCCAGGAACTAGTGTGGTTCATACACCAGTCCAGTATGTAATAATCTAATCCTATGATCATTTAGAGAATCATTATCTTTAACACCAATAAGAACATAGATTAAGAACATGGGAATTGGTAATTATAATAAACTCATGTCAATCCAAAGAAACAATGTTCTGCATGTAAAGGAATACAGATAATAGAATTCAAGGAATACGGAAAGAGTCTTAGCTTGAAGACGATTTCCTAGAAGTTAGTTACGACTCATCCTCTGATTCTCCTGGATTCGTCATGGAACACTGGGAGATGATTAACACGGGAAATGACAGCTCGGAGAATTCTTCACACACGCTGCAAATCAAATTATATTCAGTAGCAACAGATTAAGCTGCTAGGCATCTATGTTCAAGAAATTTGGATTAAATACTGAGAGTAAATATTAACCTGTGGTTTTTTATTGTCGCTCTGCGTCACGACAAGCTACCCAGCTATAAATCCCCACCTAGATGATGCATCAAATAAGGATAAAGGTACTTAGCTAATATGGGCACTGTGTTAGTTAAGGCTTGCCGCAGTTCGCGTCCTAGGTTCAGGCTTCGTAATAACGAACACGTGGTGTTTAGCCTAGCCTAGATGCTGACGCGTTTCACTGGCCGGTCACGTTGAACTACACGGAACCAAATTTAACAGTCGAATGTCAAATTAAATCTCTTGACAATTCAACTCGTCGTGTAAAATGACACTGACACCAGCGAAATGAATGTCTGCAAAGGTTCTTCACACCTCACAGTGGCGACTTTCTTCTGGAGCTCTTGATAGCGTCTACCCTGGTGGCTGGGGTAATGGCGTCTCCCCGCCCCGCGTTTGCTACACAAATTATTTATTACGGATATTATCATTTCTCATAGTTGTGATTGAAATGCTCGGATATGGACGGGTTTATTATTCAGAGGAGTTAAATATTATTATTTGCCCGTTTTACGATGGTAAACGGACAATGGAGATGAATTAAAGTCTCTCCAGGGTATTCACGCGTGACATTAAATTTATTACTAGATAACAGTTATAACTATAAACGCTCTATTTGGCTTTAGTTGGGATCAGTTTATCTGTAATTAATTATCACACAGAACACCGTTGTTTTATATAGAATCAAATTCAATTCTCAGACACACTGGATATAAATGTGTTTATTACAATGGAATCTGACGCAATACTGGCGTCCGGTGACGTAAGAATTCTAGCCTTATTGTACAGATGTAATTATTAGTACATGTGAACTCTACGTTTGGTTAGTTTGAATCACTACAAGGATTAGTAGATTTAGTAATAATTAATGAGAATACAACAGTGTTGTATTTAGTGTTGGAAATTTCCAACACTCGGCCCCCAGAGCATCTTCCACTGCAGCCATGTACTTCATCCTCTCGTCGTCTGGCAGCCTTGTCTCCATACGTTGGGCGTCGATTTCAAATCCAAGGAAGGTGAGGCAGGGGCAGGGGCCCTCAGTCTTGTGGGTGGCCAGGGGAACGCCTAGGCGCTCACAGAGGGCAGGGAACACCCGCAGGCTCTGCAAGAGTAGTGTAAAGTGCGACAATGACGATGCGCGTCATCTGTCCAGGTGGCTCTCTTGAGAGCCAGCTGGGCAGGTGGCACGCGCCGTCGTAGTCGCAAAGGGTTTGGGGGGAATTTTCCCGGAAGTTTGGCGCGTGTCGGACGCGTGTGAGCGTCCGGTGTTAGGGTATGTGGTCAGGAAAGATGGGAGGTCATGTTGTTGGGGTGTAGGAGAGTATGTGGGCTATGTGGTAGAGTAAGAAATACAAGGATAAGAGTGGAATATGAGGAAAGAGTAGTTAAATATGTATGTGTGTGTTTGCCGTAGACTTAATCCTGTGTGTAGATAATAGTTTTGATGATAGTAAGTAAGCTATGTAGAGGTTGAGTGAGAGGGGGGAGCCAACATAAGGTGGATATGTTGTTTGGGGTGAGGGAGGGGAGAGGGAGGGGAGAGGAGAGCCCCCATACCTGAGAGGATAACATTGACGTCCATTAGCTTCCCCCTACAGGAAGCCGTAAGTGTTGAGGGGGGTAAGAGAGAGCAGCCTCTTGCGGAAGTGGTCCATTTGCTTTAATGGTTTTTCGATGTCTTCAGAATAGTCTGGAGATGTTCACCCCAGCATGGCTCTCCCTCCACTGCGATTCGTTAAGGAGGGGGCGAAGTTCTTACTACTCCCGGCAGACCCACACCTGCCAACCATCAATCACTTCTCATTTGACCCGGGTCGTTTCCCTCCCCTCACACACAAACATGCCGTTAGTTCACTGCGAGTCTTCATTCGCTACACACACTCACCATACAGCTCCGCATCATGGAAAGATGAACCTCAACACCCTGCATGAAATGCGGAGTGTTTTATATTCCATCGCGAAATCAACTATGTCGGCTGCAATGCGCAAGCTGTGAAAAACCGCCCCTAGGCCATTACGACATCAAATGCAAGCGATGTCAGCAGATTTTCTGTGATAACCGTGAGTGTTATTCTTATTTATTATTCCACAGTTCATTTTATGGCAACCACAGGTGAAATATCGCGTGTGTAAACTATTATCTCTCTTATAGTGTGAGAATATTTACTCATTCAGGCTATTACATTCCACACAGTTAAATATGTTCTTTCCAATTTCAGTTTACAAAACTGTGAAGTGTCCTTATTGCTCACCTGCCTCGCGAGGAGGTCATCGCCGGAATGAAACTTCACATAAACGTAGGTATCATATATAAATATACTTCTCGTATCTGTATTACATCCAGTTGCAAGCGAACACACATGCATAATAAACATATTTTCCCCATTCACCCGTGCTGAATATCATTTTGTTCCATTTCAGGTTATAATCCCTACCACAATCGACGGAGGGAACAGATAGACGTCATCGAGTCTGTATCCCATCCCTCCCACACTGAGCTAAGGAGAGCAGATCTCACTCGCGGGCACCCCCCGCCCCTTCAACAAGGCCGGCTGCGTCGCCAGATGGGGGGCTACGAGACAATAACACGCCCAGTTAGCACTACGTTAATGATTCATACCCTCACACCTGCTCAACCCTCTCACCAGGACATAAGTAAGTTAATACTGTCTTATTTCAGTCTATTTCCTAAACATATTAATTCCCACTAGTCTGTTCCCTCACCTCATAATATATATATATATATATATATATATATATATATATATATATATATATATATATATATATATATATATATATATATATATATATATATATATATATATATATATATATATATATATATATATATATATATATATATATATATATATATATATATATATATATATATATATATATATATATATATATATATATATATATATATATATATATATATATATATATATATATATATATATATATATATATATATATATATATATATATATATATATATATATTTTGGTAGCAGTCTTTCCTGTAGACATATATTATTAAATATGACCGAAAAAGTAAGATTAATAATTCTAGCACGAATTTTCTCAATCTTTCGTACATTTCTTTTCACTGTTGGAGGTAAATCAAAAATCAATTCTCCAAAATTCATTTTTATTTCTAGTCTGACGCGACACGAGCGCGTTTCGTAAAAAGGAATTAGTCTGTATCCCTCTGTATCTCTCTGTAGGAATTAGTCTGTATCTGGACATCTTGTATCCATTGTTTCGTGTTCTGTCTTGTGTTGATGAAATTAATACCCTATTAATACCACTTCTTGTTCTGTCTTGTGTTGATGAAATTAATACCCTATTAATGCCACATCTTGTTCTGTCTTGTGTTAATGCCACATCACCCCTTCCACCTCACTCAAATGTAGATATAAAATCGGAGATGCGTAAGTTCTATTCAGTTGTGTATTTGTGAACTAAAGTCTTTGAAAATGTAATAAGTTTTACGAAACGCGCTCGTGTCGCGTCAGACTAGAAATAAAAATGAATTTTGGAGAATTGATTTTTTATTTACCTCCAACAGTGAAAAGAAATGTACGAAAGATTGAGAAAATTCGTATTAGAATTATTAATCTTACTTTTTCGGTCATATTTAATAATATATGTCTACAGGAAAGACTGCTACCAAAATATACTAATATTAAAGCACACGACCCAGCAGCAAGGAATCAAGCCTTCACGATAAAATATCGCCAGGATCTGGTTTGTGATCAGATATACAAGGCAGAGAATGAAATCAAAGACAACAAAACGCAACTACTTCATGCTACTAACGAGTGGAGAAATAGCAACATCGACGAAAGTATCCGTACCCGCATTGAACAACACCTCGACATCCTCACAGACCAACATCACCTCAGCACTGAAACAAGGATTATCAAGAAACTAACAACATTATATGGAGGACCTATGGCAATTCCACGACCAAGAGATGGCTTCCTGAACCTTGCAGGAATTAACCTCACTGAGGACCAAGTCACTCTCCTAAATCTGGGCATAAACTGTCATGTTATGTCCAGACCGAGTGAGATGGCCCGGAAAGTAGAGTTGGAAATTCTGTTGGACGACATATTCGACCTCGAGACACAAAAGAAGGTCACTACCAAAGATACCTTACAAGCAGAACTTATTGCAGAAGGAGGAAAGAATCGAGGCAATTGCAGAAGCACCATACTGTCCCCCGAGCTTAAAGCGGCAGCTAAAAGCCTTCGTGAGAACAAGGAGATAGTTGTCAGGAGAGGTGACAAGTCGCCAATATATGTCATTCTTAAAAAGACGAATATCTGGTGAAAATGAACATCATACTCTCTGACCAAACTAAGTTCCAAAGGGTAACGAAGGACACTACAGCCGAATTAAAAGCAAAGGTCAACAAACTGATCGAAACTGTGAACGCCAAGAAATCCGGACTCCACCTGCCAAAGATCATTGGGGAATATAAACCTGGATATGCGTATGGAAATGTCAAGACACACAAGCCTGGAAACCCACTTCGGCCAATCATTAGCCAGATACCCACACCCACGTACAGACTGGCGAAGCGACTCAACGGCCTGCTGATTCCTTATGTTCCTTGCGCCTTCAGCCTGAAGTCTCCAAAGGAATTTGTTGACTTACTGCGGGGCACACGGGCCACAGGGATAAGAGCCTCGTTGGACGTAGAATCGCTGTTTACCAACGTACCTGTGGACGAGACAATCGGAATGATAGCCGACAGAGTGTATCGTGATCCAGCCTGTACTCCTCTTGACATACCAGAAAATATTCTGAGGAAACTACTCCAAGCTTGTACTAAAGAGGCACCCTTCTTGAGCCCGGATGGGCACATGTATAAGCAAGTAGATGGGGTCGCCATGGGTTCTCCCCTAGGTGTCCTGTTTGCAAACTTCTACATGGGTACCATCGAGCAAAAAGTCTTAGTCGACATGAACTTGAAACCGGCCATGTACTGCAGGTATGTTGACGACATTTTTACACAGGTACCTGATGTCAGACATCTGCAGCAGCTGAAGGAGGCATTTGAGCAGAGTTCCGTGCTGCGTTTCACTTACGAGATGGAAAAGGATGGGAAGCTGCCCTTTCTAGATGTAACAGTCATGGAAAAGGGCAGTCTACACTAAGGAAACAAACATAGGAATGTGCCTAAATGCCAACAGCGACTGCCCAGACAGGTACAAGAGGAGTGTTGTTAACGCATATGTCGACCGTGCTCTCAGCCACAGCTCAGAATGGAAGCAAGTCGACGAAGAACTCTGTAGGGTAAGGCAGGTCCTAGTCAATAACGGCTTCTCCAATGGTTTCGTCGAAGACATCATAAGAAGGAAAGTGAAAAGCCATGCAACCTCTGAAGAGACAACTAACACAACACCTATACCCCCTATTAGACTATTTTACAGGAACTTCTTTTCCACAGCTCATAAAACGGAGGAAAGGGTCCTGAAAGATATTGTTAATAGAAACGTTATCCCTACAGACAAAAATCAGAGGATACAACTGACGATTTACTATAAAACCAGAAAAACGGCCAGCCTACTCATGAGAAACTCTCCAGACACAAAACAGAACGCTTTAAAAGAGACTAACGTCGTCTATGCCTTCAAATGCCCTCTTGGGGACTGTAAGCTCCAAAAAACCCAGTATATAGGCAAGACAACAACATCTCTTTCTAGGCGTTTAACGATGCATAAGCAACAGGGCTCCATTAAGGAACATATAATCTCTTCCCACAACCAAACCATCGCCAGAGAAATCCTAGTAAACAACACAGAAATCATCGATAGATACAGCGATAGCAGGCGGCTTGACGTTTGCGAGGCACTACACATCAAGAAGTCAACACCAGCAATCAACAGCCAATTATTGCACAACTATATTCTACCCACCTCAAGACTCCGCTCCAATATAGAAGCATCAAGAAATATGGACCAATAGGCTTTCTACAAACACTTCTATTCAATATCCATTGTTTCGTGTTCTGTCTTGTGTTGATGAAATTAATACCCTATTAATACCACTTCTTGTTCTGTCTTGTGTTGATGAAATTAATACCCTATTAATGCCACATCTTGTTCTGTCTTGTGTTAATGCCACATCACCCCTTCCACCTCACTCAAATGTAGATATAAAATCGGAGATGCGTAAGTTCTATTCAGTTGTGTATTTGTGAACTAAAGTCTTTGAAAATGTAATAAGTTTTACGAAACGCGCTCGTGTCGCGTCAGACTAGAAATAAAAATGAATTTTGGAGAATTGATTTTTTATTTACCTCCAACAGTGAAAAGAAATGTACGAAAGATTGAGAAAATTCGTGTTAGAATTATTAATCTTACTTTTTCGGTCATATTTAATAATAATATATATATATATATATATATATATATATATATATATATATATATATATATATATATATATATATATATATATATATATATATATATATATATATATATATATATATATATATATATATATATATGCTTTCATTCTTTCTAGAGATAATATGTTTTTCTTTTTTTTACAGATGACACACCACTGTGCATAGATTTGGCATCCAGCAGCGCTGAGAGCAGCAGCAGTGAGAGTGACACACCCAACTCAGCAGAGTGGACATTACCCACATCCGGCTCTCACCCCTCAACTCACAGGGAGGGGAGGGCTCGTTCACGCGCTCACTCAACCCCCTGTTCCTCCCCCAGCCCCATACCCCAATCAATCAGCGACAGCAGCGACAGCAGCAGCAGCAGCAGCAGCAGCAACAGCAGCAGCAGCAGCAGCAGCAACAGCAGTGGTGAGTACACTACCGTTAACAACAGCATCACAAACCGTGAGAATAGCCTTGACTCAG